AAAAAGTTATGCATCAATTTCAAAAGTTTTTGCACAAAATTAATCTGTGAATTTCATTTTCCTTGAACTTTTTCAATACTCCTCATATGGAACATGACTATATTTCAGGCATGGACTAAGGTTGTAAGAAAAGAATGAGGGCCCAGTAGGTTAATCCTCTGCCTGTGGTACTGGCATCCCATACGGGCACTGGTTCTAGTCCCAGCGGTTCTACTTCTGGTCTAGCTCTCTGCTATGGCCTTGGAAAGCAGCAGAAGATGGCCCAAGGGCTTGGGCCCCTGCACCCATGTGGGAGACCAGAAGAAGCTTCTGGCTTCGGATTAGCGCAGCTCCAGCCGCTGCGGCAATTTGGGGAGTGAACCAGCAGAAGGAAGAGCTTTCTATCTTTCCCTCTGTCTATAACTCTACCTCTCAAACAAATAAATAAAATCTCTGGGGAAAAAAAAAGATACACTAAAGAAAATAATCGAAGGAGAGCTCTTCTCCTGAGAACTTCTCAGGGCAGCTCGCACGCTGAAGCTAGGTCAGAGAACCCAATTATCCACTTTGGTTCCATTACCTACAAGGTAAGGATGCTTGATAAGGTGACTGCTAAGATTTCTATTTCATCTAGTTTTATATGAACTGGGGGCAAGAGATCGTGCCATCTTTTGATGACCCTTAAGCCATTTTAGTTTTGCTACTTAATAACAACTTGTGCTAAAGGATGGTACAGATTACCTATAGCTCCATATTTTGGAAGGTCGTTGAGGCCGGGTTATATGGATTGGGATATTGGATGTGTGGGGAGAAGCAATAGCCCTCTACAGAGTAAGATTTCACACAACCAAGAGAAATTCCAAAGAAAAATAGTCATGTCCAAATAGAAGTCTTACAGCACACCTAGTCCACTTATTCACCTCTATACTGATTCCCCAAGGAGAAAGGCAATGTGGTTTATAAGTTACCAGGTACCAGAACCAGATAGCTTAGGTCTGTATCTCTACTCCATCATTTCGTAACTATGCCATCTTAATTCAAGTTACTAATTCCCCCCACTCCTTGTAAAGTTGGTACTGTAATAGTAGCTCCCTAGATAAATGTCAGTTCAGTAATTTTTGCAAATTTCAACAGCACAGTGACTTGTACAAAAGAGCCTACAAAAATGATGATGATTCAAATACTTAGATAGAACACTATGTGTCAAGCTCTGTTCTAAATACTTCAGATTTATCCTTCCTCTGATCTTCACAACAATCCTATGAGATAGATATTACTATTACTCTAAGAAAATGGCAGCAGAAAAAATGTTGACAAATGTGTCTAAAGCCATGTAGTAAGTGGCAAAACCCAGAACTCCATGTAACAAGTCTGAGTCTTTAACCACTGCACATTTGTGTATATTCTTTCAGGACTTTCTGTTGCCAACACTGGGTTGTCCTGCTATAAATGCTTTCAGTGAATTAACTCATGGAATCTTCAGAACAGTGTTCAGATAGGAACACTGGTGCAGTACTGAGTTTACTATAAATGCTCATGCTAAAACAAAGGAGCAAAAGAGAAGGGGGCTGCAGGGAAGTCACCAGCTACAGTGCAAAGAGAAGTGAGATAACAATTGGCCACATAACTACCCAAAGCAGAAAATTGTGACTGGACACCCCAGATGGAAGCAGAATTTGTGAGCACTGAACACCAAACATAACGAGGCATTTGCCAGCTTCAGCACTTCGCTGAAGAGATGCTTCATTGCAGCAATCACGAACAGTAGGCACAGGCTAACAGCAATGTTGGGCTTGGAAGCCAAGCAACACCGTTTCATGTATTAGTTGTCTATGTTTCATCAAGTCACTCAACCTCTTTGAATACTGACTTTCCTTTGAGTACAATGGAGATAACATTACAAAGTTTGCAGAGTTGTTTCGAAATTAAATCGGAGAGCATTGATGTCATTTACAGTGATGAGCCCTAAATAAGCCTAATAAACATTAGTAACTTTGAAAGTACAGTGCATAATACAGTAAATAAGGTGTGTTTACACTAGAGATAACACACACACTCTCCAACCTAGAAAGTGAAAATAAACAACAGGCTATTCTACTAAGCGCAGAGGAAAACAAATAATTTTCCTCTGAATCAAAGATAACTTGGTTGGATGTTTGCGCAGATTGCTATCTTGGAAGGAGTCTTCCATTATACAACCCAGGGAATAGCACAGAGCATAAGGCTGACAATAACACAAAATCCTAGATATCCACTCTTGGATAAACTGCCAAGCCATCAGAAACACTTTCAGATGACCTCACTATCTTGGTTCATTATCTCTCAGAGGGTTTGATTACGTTGTTAGCTTTCCCAAAGTCCAAACTACAAAATATCCCAAGCATACAAAATAATCCTGTGTTCCTATTGGTGAATATTTGTAAATATCTGATTCAAATGCTTTGCTGTCATCTCATTGATTTCTTTTGTTCGTTCAACTCACATTCTCAAATTAAGACTGGTTAGGGCTGCACGTTCTTTTCCTCACATCTTCACTGACAGTAAATTACTATTTGTGCAATAGAAACATAATTCTAGAAGAATATATTTTATACTATGATTGATGGAAAATATGCTTTTAGCTTACAGGGCAACACCAATTTTCTAACACTTTAGTTCTATCTGCTCAAATGCTCTACTGCTTTAAAATCCCAATTATTGCTCATAATGGCACTATTCTTACCTCAGTAAGTACCTGGTTTGGTAAAGTGCTTGAAACTCTCAACTTTAGCAATCAATTTAGTTAACTACAGGAAATAGCTGATTTCATATAGATTATTACCTTAATGTCATATTGCTCCCCAAGTTCACATACACTCAGAGTGAAGTGGTGTGCAATATACATTTTCCTATGATACACATTTACATATGTTTCAATTAAGATTGCCAGATAAAATGTATTTCAAAAGCTTTATTTATATACTTTCCTAACTATGAAGTTTCAGTAGATATTTTCTGCCCCTCTTGACTCTACATCAGTCAGATATTATGAGTGAAGTTAATACTGAACTAGGGTGAAAAATACAACACATGGAATTAGGGCAATTACTCTCAAGTAAGAGATTAAGGGGTCACATGAGTTCCAGGTAAATTCCACTGGGGAGATAATCAATTAAATCTTGCTTCATGTGCTCTACCATCCAATCATCTCAGAAGCCAAAAACTGGTACTTTTCAAAACACCCTCTGATCCCTCAACTCTCACCAGTATTCAGGGTTAGTCAATTCCAACTTTCAAATCTCTTTTGATTTTTTAGCCCCCATGCCACTCTCCCAGCTTCAGCCTTGTCCTGATTAATATTATAATACACAAGGTTTCCTATTTCACAAATTCTGAAGTAGGAACTAAGGACATCACAGAACTGTCACATCAAAACTTGGTAATTGTGGTCACTGATTTGAGATCAAATGGATTGAGGATACTTGATAGCCCTAAGCTCCAATAACCTTCCCCATTCTACAGCATTCCCACCCATGCACTATCTAGACTCAAAATTGGTTACATCTTTCTACCATGATTCAACACTAGACTCTTATTTAAAAAGAAAATAAATCCAAGTTCAAAAAATGATTATTGAGTCCAACTCAGAAACAGAAGTATGTTCCAATATTTTAGAACACATGAACTTGGATCCCAACAATCCCATGAAAACTGACCCATATAATCTTCTAAGTTATTTTTCCTATACAGCTTTTTTCCTATTATTTTAGAAGAACCAAACTGTTTCACAATTTATTGTTAACAAGTAACTGCTTGATGACATAGCTTCCTAGCTTTAACCACAAATGATTAAAAGTCAGTCATTCTGATGCCTGAACCTATTTATCTAACCTTGGCTTACGGAGACCCCATTCAGTCAGCACCAAGAGGACCTATCATGAGCAACAGGTGAAGGCAAGTACAGGAAAGATGTAGCCCTTACCCTTCTCAAGCTTTAGTCTGGGAATCACACATGATGACAGGTATTTAGAGAGTTAAGTATAAGAGATGCATGAACAGACTATACTTAGCACAAAGGAAAGGTTTTGAACCAGAGATGCTATCCAAGCAAAGGCAAGGAAGTCTGACTCTACTTACGGTATTATGCATAAAAAGGAACTCTGTAAATCAGAAACTGTGATGCCCACTAACATCTTTCAGATTTTCACAGGAAAGCCTTACTGTTAATGTTGTTACGCTTAAATTTCTTTATCAGATAGATGTGTTTTGATTGCTCATCTCATTAGTGACTTCTGACATCAGAACAGGAAAGCAAAGCATCCTCAGGGCAGCAGCTTACTGCTCATGCGCTCCTCACTAATAAATGAAGTCACTTACATTGCTGGCACGGACTGGAGTTGCTAAGGGAAAATCCACAGAATGACTTCAGAAGCCATTTTTCCAGGAGTTTCTTTTCATTAGAATTTCAGCAAATCAATGCCCAGTTGGTACAGGGCCCCTAAACACCAACAGCAAGAATTTCTTCAAAGAAGCCTATACCCAAATTCTTCAAATATAAGATACAGCTATAGTCCTCTCATTTCCATCTCTCCCGCACAGTGGCAAGACTTGCTATACAACTGAAGAGATTCTCAGATTACCACAGGGCTGGACAATCAGGTGTAGACAATTTAAATTTGTAGACCACATCATACTATTAATCTAATGTTTGATCACCACTGCTTCACAAACTTTTGTATAATCTCTACTTGGTATTATTCCATATTTATTCCTGCATTATTAAAAGTGCTTCAAAGCTTAGGATATGGAAACACAGCACAACAAAGGGAAAACATACAAGAGTTAGTAAAGAAGGAAGCACTGAGATCAGATAGAAGCCAATGCCCTTATTCAATTTAAATAGAAATACTTTTCAACCCAAGCATCTGGTAGTAGGATATGTTGAATCCTACTATCGTTACTTTCCCACATTTTTCATCATCATGCACCAACCTTCCTTTTTCCTCAATAAGAACTAAAGAAATCCATGTGGGTGTACTTACAATTGTGAAGTTCATGACTTTGAGGATCCAGATGGTCATGGCCAAGTTCACCAGTATTAAAATCATGAGGAGCAGGACAAAGAAATACAGGCATCTCTTCCGCCAGCCGTAAATCCCCACTTTGTATACCTGTGGCCCCTCAGCACTGGGCATGGTGCTCCGGTGGTGCGTGTACTGTTCCTGAGGCATCTGAAACAAACAAGGCAAGAGAGAAGCACTCCCATTAAACTGCTGAGAAAAAGGAAAAGGAAAAATCAACTGATGAAGAGATATGGCTGGCTGCTGTCTGTACATTTCCACCCTCCTGGCAACTCCAAAGAACGGCTTCTTCTGGACCTAAGTAGCTCCTCTGCGTGCTTGCTTGAATGCGCTCCTTCTTGTGCAGCTCATCACTTCCATTGTGTCTCAACATCAACATTTACACCTATGCTGGGAGGACAGGGACTCCCAGAAAGTGATTGTCCAAATGACCCTTAAAATTCCAGCATCTTTACTATGGATATACTCAAAGGCCTATCAAAGGCCTGACAGTTAAATTTGCAATGGTTCTGAGAAAGTACATTAGCCTCAATAGTTCATCTTGTACAGTATAGTGTCAAAACATTATTCTAGCAATTAATTTGGAGTTAGGAGTATAGAAAAGAAATCCTCCAAGGCTTTCATTCTGTATTAAGACAGCTAGGGGCAAAAATAATCATTTTGACCTTTCCTGTATTTCAGTTTAAAGGGGTCCAGGTGGACACACAGTTCAAGTCCCACTTGACTCAGGAATCTTCAACAAGTGTGATACTTCACCACTCTCTGATTTAGCCCTTAGGAATTAGGCAATTCTAACTTTTATTCATCAACTTATTTAATAAATTTAAAAAGGCTAAAAGTCAAGTAAGATATGAATATGCCTTCCAGGAGCTTACAGGCTAACGGGATCATGAATGCACCAAACACTGACCATGGTAGAATGAGTTAAGTTACAAAACTAATCACCTTAAAAGTCAATACACTTTCCCAAATTCCTCCTATTAACAAAAATGATCTTTGTACCAGCATCTTTCATTAAGTAGCAACACAAGTCTAGATGAGCTTAGCACTTCTACAAAATTCTAAAACAAATTCCAAAATTAAATACAAGTTGCAAAATTCATGTCATCTAAAATGGAAACTATCTGGCTACTATAAAAATATTGATTTGGTACAGTTAAATTGCACAGATGTGGCACCATGAATTTGAAACAGGGTCTTCTGAGTGCAACATCCCAACCTGCCATGAGCCATGTGAAAACATGGCCTCTTCTACTCTTTGCAACCTTTCTGTAAACATTTTTGCTTCACATAGGCATCATGAAAGCACACTGCAATCCCTCCAGATAAGGGCTGCCTCTGTTTTATTCTTAGCCCGCAACAATTAAGTTAGTAATAGGTGGTGCCAAAGTGACCAAGACGACAAATGAAAATGTGAAGACTAAAATCACGTATTGGTTACTAGGCCATCTTCCAGATGGTTCAGGAGATGATTATTAGGTAATCAACCTAACACATACAATCTAAACATTCCTTAGGGAAACCATAGCCATTAGACATCAATGGAATTCCATTAGAAAAAGTCAATTCTGATTCACAGTCAACTACAATGGTCTGTGAAGGCCTATGTGACACCAGTCTCATGCAAAACATTATTCTTAGCTGCTGAAACCAGTGCCTAATACACATATACATTTCAATGTATGTGTCTGCAATGAATGAATGGGAAACGTGAATGCATAAATCATGACCCAATGAGTGATTTGTTTTGTCCACTACAAGCTTTGCTGTTGTCTTCAGGTGTACAAAAGTCTAAGCTCTTGTATGCAAATTTCTTTTTTTTTTCCAGATCATCTGAAAATGTCTTCCTTTCCCTTGATTTTTTTTATTTTATATATTTTTTTTTATTTAGTAAATATAAATTTCCAAAGTACAGTTTATGGATTACATTGGCTCCACCCCCATAATTTCCCTCCCACTCGCACCCCTCCCATCTCCCACTCCCTCACCCATTCCATTCACATCAAGATTCATTTTCAATTATCTTTATATACAGAAGATCGATTCAGTATATATTAAGTAAAGATTTCATCAGTTTGCACCCACACAGAAACACAAAGTGTAAAAATACTGTTTGAGAACTAGTTATAGCATTACTTCACATTGGACAACACATTAAGGACAGATCCCACATGAGGAGTAAGTACACAGAACTCCTGTTGTTGACTTAACAATTTGACACTCTTGTTTATAGCATCAGTAATCTCCCTAGGCTCTAGTTATGAGTTGCCAAGGCTATGGAAGCCTTTTGGGTTTGCCGACTTTGATCTTATTTCTACAGGGTCATAGTCATAGTGGAAGTTCTCTCCTCTCTTCAGAGAAAGGTACCTCCTTCTTTGATGGCTCCATTCTTTCCACTGGGATCTCACTCGCAGAGATCTTCCATTTAGGTCTTCTTTTTTTTTTTTCCCCAGAGTGTCTTGGCTTTCCATGCCTAAAATACTCTCATGGGCTCTTCAGCCAGATCCGAATGCCTTAAGGAATGCCTTAAGGGCTGGTTCTGAGGCCAGAGTGCTGTTTAGGACATCTGTCATTCTATGAGTCTGCTGTGTATCCCACTTCCCATGTTGGATCGCTCTCCCCTTTATTCTATCAGTTAGTATTAGCAGACACTAGTCTTGTTTGTGTGACTCTTAGACCTATCAGTGTGATCAATTGTGAACTGAGATTGATCACTTGGACTAGTGAGATGGCATTGGTACATGCCACCTTGATGGGATTGTATTGGAATCCCCTGGCATGATTTTAACTCCGCCATTTGGGGCAAGTCTGATTGAGCATGTCCCAAATTGTACATCTCCTCCCTCTCTTATTACCACTCTTATATTTAACAGGGACCACTTTTCAGTTAAAATTTAAACACCTAAGAATAATTGTGTGTTAATTACAGACTTCAACCAATAATACTAGAACAAAAAAAAATACTAAAATGGATAAAGTATTATATTGTACATCAACAGTCAGGACAAGAGCTGATCAAGTCATTGTTTCTCATAGTGTCCATTTCACTTCAACAGGTTTCCCCTTTGGTGCTCAGTTAGTTGTCACCGATCAGGGAGAACATATGGTATTTGCTCCTTTGGGACTGGTTTAATTCACTCAGCGTAATGTTTTTCAGATTCCTCCATCTTGTTGCAAATGACTGGATTTTGTTGTTTTTGACTGCTGTATAGTATTCTATAGAGTACATGTCCCATAATTTCTTTATCCAGTCTACTGTTGATGGGCATTTGGGTTGCTTCCAGGTCTTGGCTATTGTGAATTGAGCTGCAATAAACATTAAGGTGCAGACAGCTTTTTGTTTGCCAATTTAATTTCCTTTGGGTAAATTCCAAGGCGTGGTATGGCTGGGTTGTCTTGTACACGAATTTCTACTCCATGCTCTGAAGTCACTGGGTTTGCAGCTGAGCAGTGAGTTTAGTGCTGGAAGATGACCTCCATTTCATCAGTCACCTTTTGACTATCGTCCTATAGATCAGGGAAGTGTTGTAAGAAGCTGAGAGCACAACAGTCACCACACACTGACCTTTTTTATACCCCAAGATCAATTAGAAATGAAAGGAGTAGCATATAACCTGAAGCAAACTGGGTCTTTATTTTCTCTTAAATCTTATTCTGTGAAATAGGAAATGTTCACAGAACCTTAGAATCACATCTCAAGGCTCTGTGATTGGAATCATTCATAAAATTAGTTGATTAAAAACAAGTCAAAACATGTATATATGGCTATGGTTTGTATTAAGGTAAAGGTAAGAACAATACAGGGACTTTTTTTGTTTTTTTTCTGCTTAATGAACACTAAGACACCCCAAAATGAGAACGTAGCAACTACTGATACCGCCAACATGTTGGCCTTCTTCTTGCTACCATTCACTGCAACTAATGATGTCATATAACATAACTATAAATCAGTTATTTATCAAATTGTCATTTCAGTCAATATTTATAAGAGGATGAAGACAAGAAAAAACTCTTGTGATTTTTTTTTCAATATAGAGTGTTGGAACTTGAAAAAATACAGTTATTATCCCCGCCAAGGGTTCTCAGTCCTGGATTTATAGCAGTCACTCAGGTTAATCTAATAACAACCACAGGAACAGTCTCCAGATAGCAGTACTTTCCAAGACTACATCAGATAGTTCTAAGGACAAACAGGATTGCACATCATTGGTCTACAATAATACAGCCCAGAACTTATTATTTATTCAACCGAATTTGAAATTTGAATGAACCTTAACAAACGCACATTCTCACGTCCTCTATTACAATCTGGGGCTCAGTGGGCTTTGAGGCACAGAGGTTAAGTGGTGGCCTGGGTCACCTGCACCACCCAACATCAAGGATGCAGTTCTAGGCTCCAGGCTTCGCCTGACACAGCCCTGGCTGTAGTGACCATTTGAGAAAAGAACCAAAGAACCAGTGGATGAAGATCGATCTCTCTCTCTCTCTCTCTCTCTCTGTTTCTGTCTCCTTCTCTCTATGTGCGTGTGTGTGTGCATTGCTATACCTATGGCTTTCAAGTAGCTGAAACTAAACACACATTTAAAAAAAAAAAAAAGAATCTGAGGCTCAGAAAGAAAGGTTAAAAAAAAAAGTTCCCCAGAGGATTCTAAGCATTTGGAACAACATCTAAAAAAATTGTTCAGTTTTTATAGTATAATCATTTAAGGACAAAACTCTTTGAAAGAAACTCTTGCTTGTCCAAGAACAAATCAAGCAAGCCACTCTGCTGAAAGCAAGAATGAGGGTGGGGCTGCCCTTGCAGCAGCTCTGCAGGGCCCTTGTTCTCCTGGAAAGACCTTTGTCCATCCCTACTGAGGAGCTGAGGGGCTCAAGGACAGGAAGAAAGAGCTCCTTTCCATGTTACAGAACAGATTAGCAGCTGAGCAGGGAGAAGAATTCAGATCCTTTGCTGCATGATGTCATAACCAGTTCTGTGTATCATACAGCTCTTGCGTCTCCACCACAGCCCTTCAGTGAGCCCCATGAAACAGAAAACTCTAGTATCCGACTCTGCAAAGATTAGGGAAGGCAAGAAGCCATTTTCTGCGAAGGATTAGAACAGGAGGTCTAGCCAGGCAAACATAAGGTAATGGATACATCTGTTTTCA